TCAGGGGCAGTCTACACGCATATGAGTAGATTACAGATTTTTGTCAGAGGTTTCATGTTTGGTGGAATTTTTCGTAAATTTGTTGTGATGAAATTATAGTAGGGATATAGCCGATGATTATATCATAACTATGAGATGAACTATTAAATGATGTCAATTCGATTTTCGATAAAAATGTATAAATGGGAAAGTATAATTATTTTCGAACTTCTCCACTCATTGAGCTATCAACTCATATATTTTCCCACGATTTTTCCTACGGGTAGCAATTGGTTCTTAATAGCTGGAGGAGCCTGATGATTTCAAAGTGATAGCCACATGACATATAGAGTGATATGATTTATTTGATAAAGCACAGAGTAATTATTTTGGGCCCATTGCATTAATTGTTCATAAGCATATTATTTGGCTCATATTTAGTAGTAATTCATAGTTAGCCTTGGTGGTGGATCTAGCATTTAGTCAGCATCTATCATCAGTGTACGTCACATTTCGGGTCTACTTGGGCGATCTGGGACGGGTCATGTCAATTTTGATTCAAAAGGATACAAGTACACTTGTGCAAGTGAAGTCCTGAAGGTTAGTAAAGGTGCTCCGTGTTGTGTTGAAGGTATATAGAAGGTCCCAATCATATTTCTTGGTTCTACATAATCTTTGGATATTAATCAAAAATTGGGGACTCAAGTGGATTTGAGTTTGGTATAATACCGTTGGAGTTTGATTTATGGTCTATTATTAAAAAATACATCTTAGTCGAGTTCAAAACTTAAGGATGATTCGGCTTTGCCACCATAACCAGCGGTACCTTAGTATTCAATTGCTAGAGTCAGACTCACATGAGATATTGGACCTCAACAAAGGCACAATGAAACTGATTTTAATGCTTGTGCTTTAATTGCAGTCGAATGTATTGAGTGTAGCAAATAACCTTCTACAAAAGTAGTTAGTAATGTTGGGTCGAAATAATCGGTTAATTTAAAACTTTCAAGTGGTATCAAAGACTTAAATGCGATCCTTACCTAAAAAATTATCTAGATGATTCAATCACATTCTGATGGAGGATAATATGGATATGCATGAGGCTTATGATATAAGGAGAGTCTCAAATTACATAAGGTCAATTGATCAGTTTTTAAGAAACTGAATAAGCTTGAATTAGAAAAAGAGTGCCTTATAATTAAACTTGAGGAGTCTACCAAGTGATTGAATGAATTAAGAATTGACAAAGAGTTATAAATGATCTTGAAAAATTAAATGCTCACCTTCAATCCTTCTCTACTGGATTTAAGAAGATTGATAACATGATATGTCTCAACAAAATAGATGGGAATAGATATGATTTAGATAATATTGAAACAAATTCTCATGCTACTTCATCTTCTAACAATAAGATTGTACTTGCCTCAAAGCTTAAGGTTCAAAACTTGATATCTAGAGTTAATCCTAGGTTCATCCCCATGTGTCATCATTGTGGTATAGTAGGACACATAAGACCTAATTGTTACGAGCTCTTGAATAAAAATACGACCAAGAATATAGTCGTCCAAAGACCTAAATCATCGGTACAACAAAGATTTCCTCCATTAAAGGTTTAAAATTTGAAATCTAGGATTGTTCCTAAATTCATTCCTACAAGTCATAATTGTCGTGTTTTAAGTCACATTAGACCTAATTGTCATAAGTCATTATTTTGGTAAAACAATCAAAATGTAACTAGTCATGTTATTTTCTTGACTGACCTAGTGAGTCACTTGACTAAATTGATTACTCAATTGACTCAAATTACGTCTTCTTCCAAAAGGATTTGGGTGAAGAAGAGTAAACTCACAAGTCTAAGTGATGTTGATAATTGCAATGTTCCTCATGTTGCTCTTCACGATAAGAGCACTTGTGAGCCTTATTGATTAGGTATTTAGCTGCATGTATCTGCATTGTTCATGGTATCCACTATTCATGCATGCATTCTAATTTTTTTCTTATTTTAATTGTTGGTCATTCGACATGTTATTTTGTGATCAAGTACTTATATAATTAATGAATACAGAATCAAGATTCCATTAAACTTATTTAGAACTTACAAGAGTACTTGGTACAGGTTATTTTATGCACATTTTACACCGCACATATTAAACTCTTGTGAGTGGGTTATGATTGCATGTTTGAGACTTGGGAAGTCGGTCATCTGTGTGGTGAATTGATTTTAAATACTGAACGACCTTAAAACTAGTTGACTTAAGCTCTTGTATATTTCCTTTAAAAGAAAGATTACTATTGAGCTTCAAGGAAATTTTTTTGAATTACATAAAATATTGTGAGACAATCTGATACTTTTTTTCCTATATGACTTGAGTGATTAAGCCTGCAGAGTTTTTTAATACCTGGTGCCCTATAAGTCATCCAACTTTAGAGTTATCGGCCTAAAGCTTGTTATATGGATCACGTAGAAAAGTTTAATGAAGAAGAGTCTGTACATAAGATTTGAAAACTAAAAGAAAAATATACAAACATATGTATGTGCACAGAGATATGGGGAGAATGAAAAATTTAATCCAATTAATTATGAGTTCTTTAATTTATAAAGGTCTTAGTAACACTGGATTTGACTTCATACTTAGAAAAATATATTCATTCACCTGTGATTGTTTGCATGCCTCTTCTCAATGACTTAAGGTTTTGAGACTTACTTATATGAGTTTAACGACAATTTTCACACATGAATGACTTATAGAATTTACTCTATCTAGGTTTTGAAATAAATTATGTGGGAAAAGTTTACTTGTTTATGAACTGTGCATGTATCAGAAAGGAATAATGTTCATGATGATAAAGTTGAAAATTTCGAAAAACAATTGGTCTTGAGATTGGAAATTTTTTATTCTCCTATCACATGTTTTTGCATCATTATACATGTGCATATTTTTTTTACTCATTCCCCTATGTGTTTGACATGATTATTATTTGTCTTTCCGTTGTTATTCGTGACAAAAAGGGGGAGAGATGTATATTTATTTCAGGTAGTTGATTATATGTGTTAGGTGGCAAATTTTAAATTTTTTGATTGATAGTTGACTTAGGGGGAGTCAATTTATATATTTGCTGAAATTTTATTATTGATATAGTTTGTATTTTGTCTATATTGATATAAAAATTTATGTTTTATTTCTAAGTTTATAATTCACATGATATTGCATGCTTCGGTGTTAGACTGTTTTATTTAACTTAGATATATGGTATTGGTTTTGTTAGTTTTCTCTTACTTTTCATGTGGTATTGTGGTTTTCATCTGTTTAAGGAAACAAGTTGACTTGAAGAAATTTTTGTAAAGCTTATTTTTGGGTAGTTTTAGACTTATTGACTTCGAAATAAATATGATTTTGTCACGGAATTCAAAAGGGGGAGATTGTCAAGTCCAAATTATAATTGACAATTTTTAAATTTGTGATTGGCAATTTCCTTAATCAATATCAAGTTCTAGTTGAATTGTATTTCTCAACTGTGGAGGTAAGCGAAGGGCCTGACGGCTTAGGTTATTAAAAATAAATGGGAGAAAAAAAATGGGCCCCTAAAAAAGCTGGGCCTGAGGCGGAGGCCTCTAGGGCCTCTCCTCTGGTCCGGCCTTGCAAAGCATGATAATCTAAAGTTAATTTTTTTGACTGCTAAACTCTTTGTGGATTGTATTTTTATTATTTGAGATCCATATGTGCTTGATTTCAGTTTATGGATGATCCAGCTACTGTTGTTTATTTGTCGATTTGATGCAAACTTAGGAGAAGTGGGGTAACAGCAGCCTTCACTAAACACTGTAAATTTCCTTACAACCCTCAACATCGGTGCAGGAAGAAGTGCTTCGATTAAATCTCAACATAGATACATAAAAGACAAGTCAGAGTATAAAAGTATAACATCTGTCTTGACCACTGCTAGACAGATTAGGTTAAAATCTTTATCTAAAATTGAAGCATCAGAGACAGAGGAGTGTTTTATGTAATCGTAATTCTGTCAATCACTTTCGGTTCATTCATGGGGAAGTATTGGAGAATTTTTAATTGATTGTGGACAATAGAGGAAAGCCAGAAAAACTTTTCATTACAATGATGAATTCATAATTAATCTGGAACCTACTTCTGTGATAATTATTTAGATCTAAAATCAGGTTTTTGTAATGCAAAGAAAACCTGATTGTCAATGATTTTTTGTTGTCAATTGTCTTCCCCTTTTGATTCATTTTCATGTTTGTTTACTTTCATCATATTTGATCTCCACAATTCTACATTACCGAGTGAAGATATTTGACAGTAAAAAAGAAATGTTGATATTATCTTTTTAGTATTTTGAAAAGTCATTACTCTTGGGTGTCATTAACTGTTTTTCCTTCTTTTTTAGGTAATGTTTATGTCCAGATTAACATAAATGAATTTTCTGGTTTTTGTTGGGCAAATAGAAATTAGAGGATGTATTGTCGAAGGTAAGACAAGAGAAAGAGGGACGAAATGAAAAAGGTGCTGCCTTTAGCCAAGTTCTGGGACAAGGAGAAATGGATGTCAAGATTTCCATGACATTGCGCCTCACTGAGATAATGAGAATAACAGCCCCTAATGAGCTTTTAAAAGATGATAACATGAAGGTACTTAACATCTATCAATATCTGCCATTTCTTCTTAGAAATCACATGAAATCGTTGATGCACAATTGATATATTTTGCATTCAATTGTTGTACAGATAGAATGACATAGTGCCTCACTGAGATATATAATGAGAATAACAGTTCAGTTCGTAAGATGGGCTGACTCTCCCAAAGCAGACAATACGTAAGTTAACGGATTGAGCACAAAGGTCAGGTCGTTACAACTTTGTGGTATTTAAGAACTTGTGGAACAACTCCACAAGTAGTGCATCTAACTCCAAATCCCACATCACCACACATAAATTCACGTTTGCAAATACCTTAAGCGTTGAAAGAGCCTTCAAGATTTCTGTGAAATCGTGCTTCACTGGGATAATGAGAATATCAGCCCCTAATGAGCCCTTAAAGGATGATAACATGAAGGTACTTAATATTTATCGATATCTGCCATTTCTTCCTAGTAATCACATGAAATTGTTGGTTCACAATTGATATATTTTGCATTTAATTGTTGTACAGAAATATTTTCAGTCAGCTGTGATGGCATTTGGAAAATTGTTATGCATGGCTGGTGAAGGCTATTTGAAGGCTCTCTCAACGCTTAATGTGTTTGTAGACGTGAATTTATGTGTGGTGATGTGGGATCTGGAGCTAGATGCACTACATGCGGAGTTGTTCCAGAAGTACTTAAATACCACAAAACAAGTTGTAACGAACCGACTTTTGTGCCCAAACCGTACTGTCCGCTTTGGGATGGTATCTGACTGCTTACGCCTCACAACTTTTTTGGATTTTCAATCATAAACTCTACAACTTGTGCTCCGCACATCCAAGATGGTGGAAAAAGTGATATTTCTTTTTTATTCTATCATGACATGAATTAAATATATACCAATCAATGCTCATTTATGTGTTTCCCCGAAACACTTGCTTATTTCAGTGCAATCTTTATAAACTTGATCCTATTTAAAGAAAACTAAATACACAATTATCTATTTGCTATAAAAATCTCAATTAAAGGAAATTAAACTAAACAATGATTATAGCGACCTTTGATTCTGTATGCTTATGATCTGGAATCTATAATATTTCCAACACCACATCTTTCAGATGGCATGTGAAGATCTTGAATGCCTTTTCTGGAAAGTAAACGATGGAAGTTGTCCCCAACAAAGGCTTTGGTACCATCATCTGCTTGCTAGCTGATTATGAGAATGAACAAACTTGGTAGAAATAATTCCTTTATGTACTTTTTTAAAACTAGATGACGGAATATTTGTACACGTATAGTTTGTTCATGAACCCAAGTCAACACCTAAAGAACTTCTTATCGGCCTTTAAATTTTTTTATCTAGATAGGATAAAAGCAAATGAGCCCCATATTTTTTAATGTGAGATTGGCTGCTGTATGCATTGCCAAAATCTTCAAGTAAATAAAGTACTCATCTAACTTCACAATACTCCATCATAGAGATTGAAGAATTTCCAATCAGCAAAAATGCCATGTGATAGAATGTTGAGAATGGGAATGTTTTTAAGTCACTAAAGCATAGCCAAGTGAAAAGAACTATATGCAAAAAGGAGGATTCCTTAACCACGTCGACCATTCCCTTTACGTAATGTAAGAATCTCCAATCAACATAAAATGCACTATGAACTCTCCAATACTTAACTTCATATTCTTTATTATGAGTGTTTTAAAGTGACGTGCGCTAAGGAGACTGAACTTTTCAAGCAACTCAAGGAAAACTTATCATCGGCCGACAAAAATAGCACTTTTTAAATGCACAGAGGGAGATAATGTATCAAATTGTTTGCATGGGCGAAGTTGATCCTTTGCACTAGGGATCTTAGATGGACCCCTACACCCAAGAGAGCAGCCAAGTCCAGCTACTCTCTATGTATGATCCATACTAAATCTGATCAACTGTCCATCACACCTCTTCTACGTTCTGGGCAGCCAATCTTTACCATAGTTGTCTTTTGTACCATGTTTCGATCATCATCTCCATTACCTAGGAAAAGTGAGCGATCAGTACAACTCCAACATCAATGAAGCATTTCCCATATTCGAGGTCCCTTACTTTAAACCTATTTTAAATATGAAATAAATAACTAACATATAAGGGATTGTACTACTCCTTTTATCAAGGTTCACTTTTTAAGATAGAGTCTCATGTTTTAATATGCGTAAGTTCTCATTAAATGCAAATGAGCAATTGACGTGACAGACTCAAACAAGCACGTCAATTCCAAACTTGATGTTCTCGAACGAGCCACCATCTTGTGGGTATGTTAAGTGATAATTTTTAAAGATGAAATAAATAGCTAACATATATGGATTTGGACTCTTTTTAAAAATGTTGTACTTTTGAAATAGAACACCAAATCTTTATAAACTAGTAAGCTTTGCAAACCATTGACCTAAACATTGCTTCAAGCTTCTTGAGTTCACAAACTATATTCTAATTTCTAGATTTTTAAAACCCCATGGGGAGCTACATGCAATCTTTTTTTGTTGAATCTCTATGCAAGAAAGAATGACTTAATTTGGTGAAGATCCTAGTTTTTAACCCCTAAAATTGTTAGTAGAGTTCTCGTTAGATTGATTGACAGTGCAAAGTTTCCTAATAGTTGTGCCTTTCATATTGGTCATAACTTTAGCTTCCAAATGGCTTTTTAATGGTCAATAGTGCCGACAGATACATTTTCTTTATTTTAAACACCCATGTACAACCTATAGCCTTCTTGTTGGGGACAAAGAAGGGAGTTCCCAAGTGTAATGGTCCTATAAAACTTTAACTTCTTTTCCTATGCCTCTCTCCATTTCATATCAAACATTGCTTGTTTAAGAAAGATAGTGAGACGAAAATATTTGTCTTTGTGTGAGAAGTACTTATAGATGAAGAACCTTGAAATATGGAACTAACCTGATAAGTGTGATATTTACAATTATTTAAGCCACCAAAAGTGGCTTTTATTGGTATTATTATGAATTTGATACTTAATTATTTGTGTTTTTTTATTATGTAAGGAGAAAACTCGGATTGGAGCTTATATTGATAAAGAAGGAATGAAATTGGATAAAATCTACAACTTTGGGATCAAATTTCGTATGTTAGAAATCCAAGGACTGACTTGCACATTTTTGAAAAAATATGAAGCATTGAACGCAATTATAAGTATTGAGGGTGGCAGGAAAGTTGGATGAAAACCAAATTTGGGCTTGGACCAATTGAAAAAGGGATAAAATTGGATGGGCATCAAAATTACAAGGAATTAGAATCCTTTTGGACTACAAAAGCTAGAGGTAGAAACAAGGAAAGTTGAAGGAGAATTAATTAGACTATTAGAGTCCTACTGGGATGCAAACAGGTGGCTAGCAAAAAATTTGTTAGGTTTTAGTTGATATTGTAATAGGCAAATTCTGTGGACAAAAGGACTGAAATTGGCATATTGTAATAGTTCAAGGAGTAATGTGCCAATACGTTGAAAATAGTTTGGTTTTAGGTTTAGGGTTTGAGAATGTCAGAAGGAGGAAAACGGTGCAGATTTTCGCTGGACTGTCTCCTAGGATTGGATTGAGCTACAAAAACAGAAACAATGTCGAATCGCTCCTCTTTTGCTCGAGCGATAATCTGTAGCTCGAATGTCGCTCAGCCCTTGCTCGAGCGACAACTTTATTTGGGAAATTTTTATATCGCATTTTAAATGCTCTTTCCCTAGTCCATTTGGTTTTTGACCTACCTATAAATATCAGAACTCATCTGTACGAAAATTTGAATGTTGAACATTGATAGAGCTACATCCGTGAGAGTTTGATTTGATTTCTGCCTTCAACCTTCATCTCATGAGTTTGTTTTGGAGTGAAAAATATCAATTCCACAATCCAAATACTAGGCTGATGTTCATTTACATCTAATCAGAGCTCTGAAGATCGAGAAAGTTTGACTGGAGTTTCAATCTATGAAGAACGTGGTGTTCTTCATGGATCCACAGGAAATAAACGATTTCACAAAACTAGGAGTTACTGCAGGAGAGCTTTGGAAACTGCGGTTGGGAGTGGTACAGGAGCACAGAATCCAGGAAAGCTGTTGGAATTGCAGTCAGAAGATCAGATACTACTTGTCGTCGTCTAGTCTAGTAGACTAAGCTGTTAAATTCGTTTATAGTGGATTGACTGGCAAAGTACCCGAAGTTTTTTCCCAGCTGGGTTTCTCCGTGATCATACTGTTGTTCGTTTACTGCTTTATATTATGAATGTATGATCTATGGTATTTAAACTTAGGATTAAATTGACTGCATGATTAACCATATAGAGATAATTTGTAATGCCCCGAGTTCCGTGAACCCGGATTGCCACGTCATATTCTTTTGTAACCGATTTAACTAACAAGATTCGCGGAAAATAACTAAATTTCAAACTTCGCATTTATAACGGTAAAAAGCCTTGAAACCAACAAAACTCATTTAATTAACTTAAGGAATTTGATTAAACTTCAAATCTCGAGTTCTGGAAATATTGAAATAACAAGTACGTTAATAGCGTTCAAATACGAAATTCTTTTTAAATGTAAATAACTGAATTCATTAAATCGTCGCCACATTGCCCATCAAACCCGGCCGTCTCCAAAATGACGGAATGAGTATTTCAATGAAATACTCAGTAGACTTATCGTCAATAATTAATTTACAGAATAATTGAACACGCAATCATGCAATTTATATCGTGATATCATCATAGGCTCTTTAAAAACATAGGGTGTGAGTAGTCTCGTCTCGTGCATTTAAGCATATAAATTATGCATAACATTATCATCTTATCTCATAAGAGATTCTCGTCTTTTCTCATGCAATTAAGCATATAAGTTATGGCAAGCATAACAACATCATATATCTCATATGACATAATTCTCATCTCATGCAATTAAGCATATAAATCACGTAAATTCACATAATACATGCAATTATAATTTAAACTAATTAATGGTGGCGAGTCTTCCTCAAATTATCTCAAGTTGCGTGAAAAGTGGAGCGGGGAGTAACCTCAATCTTCTAATCGTCCGTACGTTTCGTCTAACCAAAATAGAAATTAGGTTTGAATTAGTATTTCGAAATTTTAAAGTCTTAAAGCGATAAAATAAAGTTTAGGGACCTAATTGGATATTTATTAAAATTGAATTTGACAAATTTAAAGGTTGAAAATACCATTTTCAAAGTATTGGGGCTAAATGTGAAAAATAAGAACTCTAGGGACTTAATTGCAAATTATTGAAATTGAAAATAAGAGTTTAAGGGCTGAAATTAAACTTTTAGAAGTTAGGGACTAAACTGTAAATATATTAAAACTGAAAATAAAACTAAAAGGGCTGAAATAGACTTTTGATAAATTAGGGACTAAATTGAACATTTTCTAAAACTAAAACTAAAATTACAGAATTGAAATTAAAAATACTTAAAACTTAAGGACTTAAATAACAACTTTAAAAATGTGGGGGGACTATGTGATAATTTCTAAAAATCAAAATAAAACAAACTAAATAAACAAAAAAAAACATTCATTTCTCTCTCTCTGGAAAGAGAGAGAGAGAGAGAGAGAGAGAGAGAGCGACGGGAGGGAAGGGGCTTCGCCCCCTTCCTTCGATTCCGCCACCGGCCGAAATGTTCAGTGGCAGTGCAACCATCACGTGGTGGTGCTAGGGTGGGGTGGAGGTGTGTGGAATTTCTTTGGGTATATGGTTCGAAAATCGGCCGAGGCTTGGGGGTTGATTTCCTTTGGGTTTCTTGGTGGAAATCAAGCTGAAAAAGGATGCAGAAGTTAGGTAAGTTTATGCGTTATTGATTTAGGATTTTTATTTCATGATTTGGGGCGTGGGAGTTGCGGTTTCGGTGCGTTTTTGTGGGTTGTAGGTGGCGGTTTGTTTGTTTTTCTTGGTTTTGTGATTGTTTGTAGCTTTTGGTCTCGGTTTGGAGGTGGTGAGGTGTTGGTGATGGTGTGGCTGGAGTTGTTTGGGTTTGGAGTGAGCTGTGGATGGCTTGGTGGTTGGTGGAGGTCACTCTTTTGGGCTTGGTGGTTTGGGCAGTGGAGCTGGTGAGCTCGGTGGCAGTTTTGTTGATGGTGTTGGAGGCTGCAGCTTGGGTTGGTGAAGCTGGGAAGGAATTTCTAGCTTGCTGATGCTAGAAATTGTTCTAGCATTAATGTGAGCTGAGATTGTTGTTGATGCTAGAAATTGATGTTCTAACATCAAACTAGAATTTCCAAAATGAGGGAGATGATTCTTACCAAAATGTTGGTCTCGTGAGGTGAGGAGTGGAGGGAAATGAGGGAAATAAAATAGTAAATTTTAGGGCACAATTCCCTAGGTAATAATTGGGCCAAATAGTTGGGCCTACCATTTGGGCTGTAGGGTTTTCCAATTGGGTTTAGGTGGATTGGACTATTGAAATTGGACTTAACTAAAATGAACTAAATAAATTGGATTTTAAATAATAAAATTATGGTACTAATAATTATTCGAAAAAAAAAATGAATTCGATTCGAAAATTTAAATTCGTTTATAACGGCTAGACGAAAGTGTTTTCACTTTAACGTTAGGGTTCAAAATTTAGCGACACGTTTTTTGAGAAAAATAATTTTATGAAATTTGAAATTCTTGGTCGCTACATAATTAATTGGTGACTTGTTACTAATTAGTTAATAAGATTTTAATTCCGCATGTTACACCTATTCACCCCCCCTCTAGGTGTTGTTAGGGTCGAACTTGCGTTTTTCAATTGGTATTAGAGCTTATATCGATTCCTGGCCTTCATTTGTTAAGTTTAGATGAGTCAGTCATTATCCGTGCCTCTGTACTTCGATGGACGCAACAATGCCTATTGGAATGTTTGAATGAGAGCCTTTCTTAAATCTATGGATGAACGTGCTTGGATTATCGTTCAAAATGGGTGGGTTTCACCTTCAACAACTGTTGATGGTGTAATCACACCCACTGAAATTTCTCTGTGTTCGAAAACGAATTTGGATGAGTGTAACTGGAACAGTAAGGGCCTTCATGC